ATTGACGGAGGCTAATGCTAATAAATAAATACATTTACTGATATGCTAACGTCGCGAAGCAGAATTCTGTTGCCAGGGAATAACCAAGTTTACATCGGAATTAGGATATTAAAATTCTGGAAGGACAACCTTCCCATAAACTACAGAAAGTTCAGGGAAAGGTACAGTGAAAGCAGAATTGTCAGGATCCACTGCATGACTAATATGGCAAATGAAAATTGGAAATGTCTGACGCCACGAGCTCTGCTCTCACATTTCTCCTTTTTGGCACTAGCCGGGCCATGGGCTAATATATGTTGGCAAGTCTTCCAACGAGATCCAGACGTGTGATCACCATGGCTCTGGATGGTACTCTGCTCAAAGGTATGGGGTTGCACAAACAACCATCCAACTCTTTGGTCCCTAACCTCTTTATTTTTTTTAAGACAGAGTCTCACTCTGTTACCCAGTCAGTCACCCAGGTTGGAATGCAATGGCACCATCTGAGCTCACTGCAACCTCCACCTCCTGGATTCAAGTGATTCTCCTGCTTCAGCCTCCTGAGTAGCTGGGATTACAGGGGCTCACCACCAAGCCTGGCTAATTTTTGTATTTTAAGTATAGAAGAGAGTTTCACCACCTTGGTCAGGCTGGTCTCAAACTTCTGACCCCATGATCTGCCAGCCTCAGCCTCCCAGAGTGCTGGGATTACAGGCATGAACCACTGCACCTGGCCCCAATCTCTTTTCTTAGTGTCCTTGCCCAATGTTGGCTGCCTCAAGGGCTCACAGTTCTGACAGTATGAAAAACCAGAGATGTAACCAGTTACACCACTGTCTTTGGAGCAGCTTCCAAGAACTTGGCTTCAAGTATGGGCTGTGAATTGGGATCCAAACTTGGAAGAAGGAAAAGAGCAGGGAGCAAACACAATGTTTTCCATCTGAATGCCTTCACACATTGACTTATCTCACCTGCCTTTTCCAAAGGGGAATCAAACACGACTATGCCATTTTAGAGATGAGGAACTTGAACTGAGGTGCCAAAAGTTAAGGGACCTGCCAAGCACAGTTGGAGATGGTGAAGTCTGGACCTGAACTCAGGTTTTTGGTTCCTCTTCCCACGAAACCACGGTGTTACTGGCCAAGGCTGTGGAGGTTGAATATTAGAGGCTGACCCTAAGAGCAGGCGAAAGAGCACCTCTATCTCTTCCAGACAATGAGGGTCACACTTGTGAATTTTCAGTTATACTCAGCATCAGCTTGGGGTGCCAGTGTGATGAAATAAATAGCCATGTATCCATTCATTTCAATGATCCCCATCCTAACTAGAGGGGAACTCCCACATATAGAGATACTACTTACAAAGCAACCTCAAATAGTGAAACAGGACTAAGAGATGGGAAATATGGGAAAACGGCCCCTTAATAGCCAAAATTTAGACACAGCTCATACTGTAAAGTGTGCGCACTTAACTGATACAGTAACTTCTTGGCTCTTGTCTTGAGCCTGCTCAGTGTTGCTTTGTACATAATTGTAGCACTCCTGGTGAAGCCAGTTGTTCAGGTGGCAGCCTATTAGAAGGGAGGAGAGGCTGGTGAGAGCAGGCATAGTGACAGCAGCATGATGCAAGAGCTGAGGGGTTGCCAAGACAAACTCAAGACACATTACAATCTGGAATTGTTTGGTTGGGCTCCATGCACTTTAATAAACCCAGGAGGTATCATTCGTTGTATTAAAATACCATATGTAGTAGGTGCTGTTTACAATCACTTTTCTAGATCACTGAGAGAACAATGAGACTAGGGCAACGTGTGATACTTTTATAATAGGTTCCCATAAAAAGACAGCTGTTTTCAAAGTGGACTTGAAGAAGTCAAGATCCAGGTACCTAGAAAATGCACTTAAATGGACTGCCTCATTCCCCCCAAATGCCATACAGTAATAGTAGGTAATATATTTGTTTAAGGCTTACTATGTACCAAGTACCATTTTAAATGCTTTCATCTTTACAACATGGTTATTAGCACCTGCAGAGAGGGAGGTTAAAATTGGGCTAGACAGAGTGAGAAACACTGGGACATCCCAACAAGTTCTGGCAGCTTCAAGCTTTGGTACCTGGTCTGGAATCAGTGGGCTAACACCATGTTCCTGGGTCATAAAGCTCCCCAGGGCAGCTCTTCGGTCTGTTCATTCTTATTTACATCCTAGAAGTCAGAGGCCTCACCAGGGTGTGGATGTCTTGTGCTCTGCTGGATCTACTGTGTTTACACCATTCACTGGAATGATTATGGGCCAGGAGAAACCTTATCAAAGCAAAAATGCTATCAATCATGCTGTTTGAATATCTGGAAGAGGGAAGAGAGGTGGAGTCTACACCTAGGGTGCCTACTGGAGGTGGTGATGCTTATTTGTTTAATGCAGGTCCCATACATAGAGCTTTTGTTCTTCTTTCAAAATGATAAAACCTAGGACAGAAAGGACATACAGTATACCAAACAAGCTGATGCATTTTTTAAAAAACTTTTTAGGTTCAGGGCTACATGTGCCCGTTGGTTATACTGTAAACTGCATGTCACAGGGGTTTGGTGTACAGATTATTTTGCCATCCAGGTAATAAGCCTAGTAGCTGATAGATATTTTTTTATGATCCTTTCCTGCTGATGCACTTTCGAGGGCTTTTCACCCCTTTCCCTGAAAACTTCTGCCTCATGCACACACTTCATGAAACCCTGCAGCTGATTGGAGTCATTCCTTCCTGTGGCCCTTGTGGTTTCGCTTCACGATCTATAAACAAAGCCGCTTTCAGCAATGCTAACCATAATGGACAGACACTTCTATTTACTCAAATCCCACACATCATAAATGCTGCTACTTGTGCAAGAGTCGAATGTGAAATATTTTTGAAAGCTTCTAAGTTTCAGATGAAGCTAGGTCTCCTGGTACTCCAGGTATTGGCTTTGTTTCTTGTTTTAATTGCATCCAGGTATAAAATATACACATAAAAGTGCACAACACATCCATGTACAACTCCATGAACTCCATCAAGTGAATACATCTGTGTAACTAGCACCCAGATCCAGAAAAAAACATCACCAGCATCCCAGAGATCCCTTGTGCTACCGTTTAGACATTATTCCCGGCAAGGCAATCACTATCCCAAGTTCTAACACCATGCGTTAGTTCCTCCTGTTTCTAAAAATGGTATAAATAGAATTGAACAGCACGCCTTCTTTTTGTGTGGCTTCTTACATTCTACATCACGATTGTGTAATTTATGTTTTTATATCGACATTCTTTGGGATATATGATATTCCATTATACACATTTATTTTCATCTATGTCTGCATTCTTCCATTGGGTAGTTTCCAGTTTTAGGTGATTATAAAATTGCTGCTATGAAGCTTCTTATACCTTTTAATGAACATATATATGCACTCCTATTGGGAGTGAGTCCAGAGGAGCCCCGCCTCACCAAGGCTGTGGGAGGTATCTCGTGAGGGAACCCACATCCTTGAGGAGCTATACAGTGGTTGTCCTCTGTGGGCCCAATGTCACAAGAGAAACTTCTGCCATGGAACTGGGTCCTCTGAAGTGGCACTTAACAGTCAATGCCAAGGTCACCGAGAGCAGAAAGTAATCAGATTCATCTAAACATCTGAGATTTGTGACATTGGCTAGTAATCACTGTGACCCTAGAACTGAATAGATGAGCAGCCAACTAAAGCCTCATTGGACTTGTATAAATGGAAATGCTCTAGGTCTGTTGAACAAAATGTGGACTTCAGTCATCACAATAAGGGGTTGCAATCCCCAATAAATTGCCAGGCTTGAGTCGGTTCACAGTCCCAGAGCCTCTTGAATGAAAGGGAGGCTCAGTCCTTTTGAGTAAGGGTCCTGCCATGCACCCAACGATTTATAATGTAAACCTTACTTCTAGCCATCCCCAAAGGAACCTGTGATGGTTTAGCAGGATGACAGCACATTGGGGAAGAAATTATCAGGCTCTTCAGAGATTATTGGACACTTGCTCAAAACTGACACTAAACCCGGAGATCTAAAAGGCCACTGTGGTTGACCAGACTAGGGGCTTATAGTCAGGTGGTTGAAGTAGCTTTTCAGGAGGGTCCAGCTTATACTAAGCCCAGTGCATCCTCAAATCTACCAAGAGGTTTTTTCCCTAGTTCTGGAATGCAAAATTGGAATAGACTTTCTTATTCTTTCAGGTTGCCTTGGCAATTCTTGGTCATTGGCATTTCCAAATAAATTACAGAATCTGTTTGCTAATTTCCACCAAAAATCCTGACAGAGCTTTGACTGAATCTGCAGTAAATATACAGATCATATTGATAACTGATATTTTTAAAGTAGTGAGTCCTGCAATCAATGAACATATCATATCCTCCATTTACTTAGGTCTTCCTTCACTGTTATATTAACGGTTGTTGTAGTTGTCCGTGTATAAGTCTTGCACATCTTTTGATTAATATATATTCATAAAACCCACCTGATGGAGTTTTAGCCCTTCTATAGTGGAGCTATACGATAGAAATATAATACAAGTCATACATTTAATTTTAAATTTTCTAGTGGCCATAATAAAAAATTAAAAGGAAACATGGTATTTTAATATTTTATTTAACTCAGGTTGTCAAAATATTATATCAATATGTAATTATTGAGATCTTTTACATTTTTAAGTACTAAGTCTTCAAAATCCATTGTATACTTTACCATTAAAGCACATCTCAGTTCAGATTAACTACCTTTCACGTGCTGAATAACCACATATTCAATATGGCTAGTGACACCCTATTGGACAGCATAATTCTAGAGTCTTATTTTTATGCCAACTTGACAGGTGCGCAGTGCCAGTAGTGTATTAAAGTCTCCTATTATCGGTGAGTTTCTATCTGTGTCTCCTGGCGTCTTGTGGTCTCCGCTTTATATAGATGACTTGTGTTTGTTGTTTAGTGCATGGATAGTTGTAACTGCTATATCTTCATTGTGACTTGTGGCACTTACCCTCTGACATTATCTTCCTTTGTCTTGTTTCAGTGTCTTTTGGCCTGAATTCCAGTCTCTGGTAACAGGACAACAGCCCTCGCTTTCTTACTGCTTGGCACATCTTTGTCCAGCTCTTCACTTTCATCTTTTTCAATCGCTGTGTTTTTATTCCATACAACATCAAACTGGGGTTTGCTTTTTAACCCAACAGAACGTTTTTTAATAGATGAGATAAGCCCATTCACACGACTCATATATTTGTACCCAATACCATCATTTTATTTTATAATTACTGTATTATACTCTGTTTCTCTACTTGGGTCTTTGCCTTTTTAGTTCTTTTGATATTTAGCAAGGTTTGCATTTTTGTTCCAGTATTTCCATTCTCTTTATTGTTAAAGTCCAATCATTTATTAGAATATGTCTTGGAGTTAACATTGTTTGGGGTTCACTTTTTTTTTTTTTTTTTTTTTTTTTGAGACAGAGTCTCAGTCTGTCACCCAAGCTGGAGTGCCATGGCGTGATCTTGGCTCACTGCAACCTCCGCCTCCCGGGTTCAAGGAATTCTCCTGCCTCAGCCTCCTGAGCAGCTGGGATTACAGGTGCCTGCCACCATGCCCAGCTAAATGTTTTGTACTTATAGTAGAGACAGCATTTCGCCATGTTGGACGGGCTGGTCTCTAACTCCTAATCTCATATGATCCACCCTCCTTGACTTCCAAAGGTGCTGGGATTGTGGGCATGAGCCACCGTGCCCGGCCTTAAGGAATCATTCACCCTTTCCAACTAGCTAGTATTTCCCCACTGTTATTCTTCAATGTCTTTATTAATGTTTCCTTTGAATCTATTCTTCCTTTGGCGTCCTGTAATTTAGTTTTCCTTTGTAATATCATTCTGTCATTTTCATCTATTCCTCTCCTGAGTTCATTCAACTTTATTTCTTTTTTTTTGTTTTTGCAAATTTGCTATTTTTGAATTTCAAATCCAAAGTTACTGAAACCCAGATAAATAATTATAGTTTTCTTCTTTTAGGTTTTTGTGTCAAAATGTTCTACATTAAGCCAATTAAGTATAAAGGTCCTATTAAGAGGGGAGAGAGACTTGGAACTCTGTTGTGGTTGAAGAAAGTTTCACCTGGCATACAATCGCATGTGCACATTCAAAACTGTGACTTGAGTGATCCTACTGCATACCTGTAAATGGAAAGCAAACGGTCAGATCTTCAGAATAAAAAAATCATCTTCTTAAAAACCTGAATGCATATCCTGCTCTTCAAGAAATTCGTGTTCACAAAGGATTGAAGCATGAAGAGATGGATCCTCCATTTTCCATGACATGATTACTATACTTTGCATGCCTATATCAAAACATCTCATGTACCTCATAAGTATATATATATGTATGTACCCACACAATTTTTTAATTAAAAGAATTTGAGTTTAAAGAAAAACATGATAAATGCAAGAAAGAAAACATTTTAACTCATCGTCACTCTGATGTTCAAGTTGACTGCTTCCTTCAAGCTCTTTGATCTTTCTGTCACCTATGGAATATGGGTGGTTTTGTTTTTTAGATTTCTCAGTCCCAAAGATCTAAGATAAATAAACAAGGACACTTAAGCTGGGCCAGGCTACATTTTTGACACCTTTAAAACTAGTAACCTTTCTGCTTCAAAATAAAAAGCCTATGGTACAAGAATAGCAAGTGGTTTACAATGCTAGATTTAGCATACATTTAATGCATATTCAATGAATAAGTTGAGTGTAGGTAGTGGACTCTCAGAAATATCCTTTTGTTTATCATATTGGTTGGAGGGAGAGCTGCTTTCATGGATGATACAGGATTTCCTGCTATTTCCAGCCACACTCGCCCACATGGTTATGAAAAATGGCAGTCCAAGAAAACATTCCAGATTTCAACGAGGCTGCACTACAAGAAGGACTAGAATGAGAACGAGGCCTACCTTCATCTGAAGTGTCTCATGGAACCGGGCCTGCCAACTTCATCTAGCCATATGCATATTACAGCTGCTTATTTCTACACATTTTGTATTATATCTATACTATTCTGTCTCAGTTATATTGACAACAGGTACTAAGAGGAAAAAAGACCATACACATGTCCAAGGGACCAGAAATAATTCTGGCTCCTTCGAGTTGAGCCAGTCAGTAAGAAATAAGTTGAACTAATCCTTCCGCAAACTTTCTTCATGACTTTCTGCCTAACTTTGTTTGGAATGCAGAAAATGACAGCAGAATGACTACATTCTTACCTGGAGATTGTTAAACACAATTAACCGAAGTGTATTATTAGAGAAATGGTTGCATTTGTGCATCAGGACATATGTATAAGAATGTTCATGATATCACTATTTTTCAGAGCAAAACCTTCAACGACCTAAAAGCCCACCAACAGTAAAATCAATAAATAATGTCAAAGTTATAGAATGTAATAGTCAATAGCAGTCATGATAAACGAACTCCAGTTCAGGTAAACATAACAACCTGAATGAATCATAGCAATATAATTTTAAGTTTAAAAAGTGCAAAAGATCACGTAACACATGATATTCTTTTTATAACGTTAAAACAATTAAAATTAAAATACAACACAATACTTTCAGCCTTTTCAATCTCTGTGTTTTATCATACAGCATAAAATTGGGGTTTGCATTTCAATGCAATAGGACATTTTTAAGTAGACCAGCCCATTCACATTAATAGATATGACTCATATATTTGTACCCAATACCTTTCCCTTTTTACACAATACAATTATATAAAATTTTTATATAATATATACATTTTATACAATAAAAGTATATAAAAAGGGAAGCAAGAAAATAATGAACCCGAGTTAACGCATGCGCTAGGGAGGGCCACATAGAAAGATTTAAGTTACTTTCAATGCCTTAGTTTTGCAGTTGGGAAGTATTGCATGGGTATTTTTTATTATGAATAACATATCACAGAAGCAACAGGACTTTCATGTGGGTGGCCAGGAAGAGAGTTAATGATGACTCTCAGATAGTTGAGAATCTATGTCACACAATCCGCACCTTCGTATATCTATTAGGTTGGTGCAAAAGTAATCGTGGTTTTTGCCGTTACTTTCAGTGGCAAAGTATATCTAGCACCATCTGATTTGAATAGGCATGTCCTTGGTACCAAGTGACTTTAGGTTGTTTCCAGAAATTTGCTTGCAAAAAATAAATGCTGTACTCCATTGAGGACACCCAAAAAGGAAATAGCACATCAGATCTTCAAGGCAATTTTAAAAGAAGCTCTAAAATATTTGCACAATAAAATCTATGCTTAGTTTTCCAGATAATCATCCTTCTAATTATTAGGAGGAAAAACACAGGTGGATACGGATATTGCTTTTAAAAAACTAGACTTATGACCTGGAATGGAGAAAGTCTCAAAGTAGAGCAGGAACACTGCCTTCCCCTCAACATTCTCACATCTGCTTAACGGCAATGCAAACTCGGGGCCAAAGGACTTCTTTCTCAGGAAGCACTGGAATACAGTGCCCTCCAGTGCAACAAATCCGTGTGGGTTTTTTCCCCTTTGTTTTTAAGGTTTAGACGTCAAACGTTTGGCTTAAGTATAAAAATATTACAGCCGCGCTGTCAGCTGGCGCTGCCTGAGCCGACTCCGCGCCGCCCGCTGCGATGGAGGCCGCCGCCCAGGTCTTCCTCGAGAGCCCAGACGTAGTCTACGGGCCCCGAGGCTATCGAGGCGCAATACCAGTACCAGACGATGCGCGTCGTCAAGGTGCACCCACGACCACGCGCTTCACCTTCCGGATCGCCCGGCAGATGCCCCGGTTCGGGGTCATGCTTGCCCGCTGGGGCGGGAACAACCGCTCCAAGCTCACAGCCGCGGTGCCGGCCAACCCACTGCGTCTGTCCTGGCCCAGGCGCAGCGGCCGCAAGGAGGCCAACTATTACGGCTCGCTGTCTCAGGCGGGACCGTGAGCGTGGACTTGTACGCCGAGGGCCAGGAGGTGTTTGTGCCCTTCAGTGCGCTGCTGCCCATGGTGGCGCCCCACGACCTCGTGTTTCATGGCTGGGACATCTCGTCGCTGCACCTCTCCCAGGCGATGCGGCGCGCGAAGGTGCCGGATTGGGAGCTACAAGAGCAACTGTGGCAGCTCATGGAAGCCCTGCAGCCTCGGCCTTCCGTCTACATCCCGAGTTCATCGCGGACAACCTCATCCGGGGCTCGCGCGCGCGCAGCAGCTGGAGCAGATCCACAAGGACATCCCAGATTTCTGGACAGAGTCATGGTGCTGTGGACGGCCAACACAGCGCTTCTGTGAGGTGGTTCCAGGACTCAACGACACGGCCGAGAACCTGCTGCGCATTACTGAGCTTGGCCTGCAGGTGTCTCCCTCCACGCTCTTCGCCGTCGCCAGCATCCTGGAGGGCTGTGCCTTCCTCAGTGGGTCCCCGCAGAACGCCCTGCTGCCCGGAGCGCTGGAGCTCGCGTGTCAGCGCCAGGTTTTCCTGGGCGGAGATGACTTCAAGTCTGGCCAGACCAAAGTCAAGTCCGTGTTCGTGGACTTCCTCATCAGCTCTGACCTCAAGACCATGTCCATCGTGAGTTACAACCACCTGGGCAACAAGGATGGGCAGAACCTGTCGGCGCCGTTGCAGTTCCGCTCTAAGGAGGTGTCCAAGAGCAACGTGGTGGATGACATGGTGCAGAGCAACCCACTGCTCCATACGCCCGACGAGGAGCCCGACCCCTGCGTGGTCATCAAGTACATGCCGTAAGTGGGCGACAGCAAGCTCCCGCTGGATGAGTATACCTCGGAGCTAATGCTGGGCGAGACCAACACAGTGGTGCTGCAGGACACGTGCGAGGACTCGCTGCTGGCCGCACCCATCACGCTAGACCTGGCGCTGCTGACCGACCTGTGCCAGCGCATGAGCTTCTGTGCGGATGCTGACCCCGAGCCGCAGACCATCCACCCGGTGCTGTCCCTGCTCAGCTTCCTATTCAAGGCGCCGCTGGTGCCGCGGGACAGCCGGGTGATCAATGCGCTTTTCCGCCAGCGCAGCTGCATCGAGAGCATCCTCAGGGCCTGCGTGGGGCTCCCGCCACAGAACCACAT